AGAATTATGCAAATTAAGCTATTATTATGCATAAATTTCTGTTCCAGGGCACACATGTACCATGTCTTAGGTATAGGTACCAAGATTCATTGAATTAAGATAAGTACTTGAGATAATGATCGAAAGGCTGAAAACTGACTAATTATGTAAATGCAGTAATTAATATTCAAAAGTTTTAATGTAAAACTTATAACATCTGCGTAATGTCACAGACCATGTACCAAGTTTCATTGAAATGTGATTAGAATCAACAAATTTTGAATTAATATGAACAGATATTAAACTAAAACTGAGCAGGTCTGTGCATTGCCCAAGAGCATTTGATTCATCAAGTTTCATCAAAAACCAACATATGGTTCTTGAGATATCAGTGTAACAGACACACACATACACACACAGACCCACTAATTGCAAAGACTCCCATTGTGTGCTTTGCCAAAAAACATTTAAAAAATAGATTCACTAACACTGTGTAGTGGTGAAAATTATTCAAAGGGTTACTTGAATGAACCGCAACATTCAATGATCTCAACGTAATGCCTGATTAGGTCCATGTTTTGCAAATTGGATTTGATATTACACAACCATACACACCTCTGTTGTAATACGTCTGCTTTTTGTATCTATTTCAATTGGTTTGTAAACTAGTTAAAGTTTGGCAAAGGTCAATTCACTAACGTGAAATAATGCAGACTGTCTGAATATATTAAGAATGTGAAATATTTGTAGAGTCTAATAACCCCAATATGGCCAGGAATGATGCTTCAATAAACTTAACAAAACACAGTGAGTAAGAAACAAGAAATGCAAAATATGCAGCATTTAATATTAATAAAACAAGTACAGTTTCATAAAAGTAGTGTTACAATATTACAGGGAATGCAAATATTTTTGTAATCCTTTCATGGAACAAGAGATATTTAATATCAGTCAGTTTTAGGAGAACTCAACATTGTTGTTTTGAATATATTCCATAAATCAGACCTTGTTGACAGCTTCAAAAGTTGACCTGAATAAGGGGGTCAAGAAACTCATCTTATGAATACACAAGTGATTTTTGTGTTGTCCCATTGTATTCATTGTAATAGTATTGGAGCTATGTCGTGGATATTAAATAATGAAACACTTATAAATAATGTACAAAATTAAAATATGTACAAATGAAATACATATGTCTTTGCAAATTACCAAATGACACAAGTAAATATGAGATGACTAAAATAACATGTAGAATTTTCAGAGGATTTTACAGTAAATAAACCACCAAACTATTAAAGACTGATGGATGTTAATAAAAAGCTTACATTTATGTGGATTTTGAACATACTAGCAAATGGTCGGTGGCTGCATTGATAGATAAAACAATTAGAAAATTACTTTCACTGCTAATACAAACCTAATCATATGCATTTGCTGGAATAGGAAATGGGGGCTCCAAAATTAAACATTAAACCATATTCTCAGCAAATGTTATTCCTGAACTAAAATCCACCAGGGTAGATCAACATACATAACATAAATAACAAGATCTCCTTAGACTTGGAATCTAATTCCAGCTGTTCAGATATTTCAAAAAAAAAAAAAAAAAAAGACACTTCTAATGTAACAATACTCCTGTACACAACAAATAACACAGACACAAAAATATTAAACAGAAACATAAAAAGCACTGCATTTTAAATAACAAAAAATACAATTGTTTTGGTTATTTTTTCTAATTTTTCCCTTGTTTTATAATTGTTTGTTAGCATTAATATCATGTGGATAGATAATTATCATATTAAATTACAAATTTTAATAAATCTAAATTAATTCATAATGCCTTTCAATAATATGCAACGTAATGATATAATGGTATATATCATGAGTGTCTGCCAAATACAGTGTCTACTCATGAAGAATAGCATCTAAAATGAAGTCAGTCATTCGTTTAATTTTTTGCCTGTATTTAACTCTTTGAGTACTTGCTTTCCACAATTGTGCTTATGTATTTAACTCTTTGAGTACTTGCTTTCCACAATTGTGCTTATGTATTTAACTCTTTGAGTACTTGCTTTCCACAATTGTGCTTATGTATTTAACTCTGAGTACTTGCTTTCCACAATTGTGCTTATGTATTTTTGTTTAAATTTTATTTTGGTTTTGGACCAAATGGACATAATAGATCCAGATCTTTTTTTTTTTAATTTGAAATATGTAAAAAATGTGAGCATGTCTATATTCTGACAAAAGTTGACTTTGTAACCCATACAGTTAAAACAACATTGGGAGTTAAGATATTGTCTCTTGACAGACAAATGACAAGCAAGGTTAATGTATACCTATTTGCTATGAATAATTATAGAATGATGCAAAAATAAAATTTAATCAAAGTTCTTTGTAATCAATGCTACTTAAAAATTGTGATTAGTGACCTAAATAGTTCGACTTGGAATCTTATTCCAGCTGTTGTGATATCACATACAAAGAAGACATGTCTAATTGTCAAATACAATGCGAATGTTTGACTCAACCATGCTCATAATATTTATAAATACCTAGTGCTGACCACATTTGGTAGAGTTATTTTTCTGTCCCCTTGAAAAATTAATCTAAATACATGTATGAATATTTATTCTGTTATATTGATATGAAATGCCCCATCAGTTTCAAAGGTTTTCCATGATGCATTGCGTGAAACAGTCAAACAAGTTCATCTTAAATCTACTGAGAATATCATGAAAGCTTCGTAAAATAAAGAAAACTAGAAAAAGTGATTGAAAGACTAAAAAAAAATGTGACATAGACAAGCCCAGCAGCTAATCACTCATCAATAATACAGAGACAACACAGGGTGAAACAAGGTGTCACCTGATCTGGTGTGGACATGTCCTGACATCATTAAAAGTGTCAGGATGAAATCAAACTAATACTTTTGAGAGAATCAAAGGAAAATCACAAAATATTGTAACAGTGAGTATTTCAATGGGGTCCTTACGACGGGGATCAAGTCACAGTGACTTTCTCAAAGTTTTGTCCTTGAAAATTAAGATATAGTGAACATTTCTAGCAGTGATATCATTACTGGTAACAGTATTTTGTAATAACATAATTGTATATAACAAACAGAGATTTGTAACTTTCTTTAAAGATGTCATTACAAAACTAGTCTATGAGTGGACAATTTGAAGCTCTACAGGGCATGCTGGCTTAGAGTTTTTAAGGTGACTTGTCTGAAGAAATATTTAACCAAACTAACAATCAGGTCTGAATATGGAGAGTTGATAAAAACCGAAAAGAATATCACATAGTAAGAGAAAAACATATTTTCTCAGCACTCCATCATCAAAAATGGTTATACATGTACTTAAAAATGTTTAAAAATGCTCAAAATGTTCTGGTTAACATATTTTTTTTTTCATTTATTTATTTGTGTCATTCTGTCAAACTGTTATGTTTTTTGTAGGTACTTAAAATCCAACAAAACACAAATATATGGCCTTTATGTGCCTCTTTTGGAAACGTATTCTAATAGAACATAAGTGACTAATGAAAGACACTTAACTAAATTCGATAACTGATTTAAATTTATCCATGCCAGTCATCTAGGTCACATACCAGCACCAGCAGCTGAATGAAAAGACCTAATATGTACACTCCTAGTAGCAGAAAAGTGACACACGATATCTTAACAGTCCTAAGATCAACATAGTTTTCATCAAGGAGCACTGCATACCATTGATCACCAAGTCATCAATACAATAAACAAATGACTCAATATTTGTACATGTCATTTTCTACTGGATTAAAACTACAGAATGGTGAAAATTGTTGAAAAAGGGAAAGTGACAAGGAAATGGAACAGTGACAAGGTACCAAATAAGTCACATTTTAACATATAATTCACATTTCACACCATTCTGATGAATGTATAGTGCAGGACTACATGTTTCTGTTGTTGATCACTAGTGATTAATCGAACAGAAAATAAGATTTCAATACTTTAATATTTGAGCTTGAGATGGAATAGACTCTAAGAAAGAGTTGGTTGTTTTTTTACATCATTTGGCAAGTCAAACTAGCAAAAGTGTTCAAATTGAGAAAAGTTGTGGAAATATGAACTACATAGATGTCTAATGTTAACATATATTAGGTGCTACTCATTTGAAATTGAGGGAGGGGGCTACATCAATTTTTCTTTTCTCTTTTCTTTTCTTGAGAAAACATTTTCTTTTACATGCTGTCATTATGAAAATACTTTATTTTTCTTTCAATCCATGACAAATTAATGTTTCACAATAAATCCTCCAGTTAAAATAAAAAATTCTTACATACATGTTGCATTTAAAAAAAAATAGCTTTTTTCCCAATTGTGAAATGAAATGATAAGTACATATTTTCTAATGATATTCAGGTAACCTTTGGGTCTGTTAGTTTTAATCTAATTTGTCAATGTGCATTATATACAAAAAATTATACAATACACATATAGTAACTGAAATGTAGAGTGACAATAACATCAACGCTGTCCAATGATTCCTTGTTGCAATCCCAGGGATCAACAACTATTTGTTTTAATGGGAACAACTTTAAGACAAAACAAAATTTAATATATCGATAGTTTTTTCTGTTGCAGAGTTTTTCACTAACAATATAATACACATATTATTTATATTTTTTGCATTTTTTTTTTATTGATGTAAATTAGTCATTAGTTAGTCTGGCCGTAATTAATTGACCATAAAAGAAATTTACTGCTTTAATTAGTTTTTTGACAGGAGGGTCAAAGGTCAATCCTGGATTCTATTAATCATTGAGATATTTTTAGTGGAATGTCCACTTTATATAGCTGGAATCAATTCAAACTGTCAAAACTGATAGCATCAAGACGAGACATAAATTGCAGGATCTAGAAAAGTCAAATTAGTACAGAATTTAGGGCCACTGTAAACTCTGCTCAAGAAAAGTTTGATAATAAACAAAAAAATATGCATTTTCTAAAATAAAGTGACTTTCCACTAAAGTAACCTTATCAAATAGGTATAATCGTCATGACTACCACCTCATATTTCTAGTCTCCTTCTCATAGATGCTGGGAATCCATCCTATATTGGACGGAATCATAGTAACGCTGTTTTTACCGAATAACCGATATTCATAGTTCACGAGCTGCCTCCAAAACCCAAGGTTTGGGCGAATAACACAGCGTCTCGCTTTAATGTAATCATGTGCATCCTTCAATGTTAGATGCTCATGTTTCATTAGGTACGCCATACATAGACTAGCTGATCTGCTGACGCCAGCGACGCAATGAACTAATGTCCTTCCACCTCGTAACTTTTCTTGTTTTATCATATCTGCGACAATGTCAAAATAAGGCTGTAGTTGTGCATGTGGTGCATCATCCACATGTATGTGTATGTATCGTATATGGCTTAGGGTTCCACGTGGTTTCTCAACAGTCATGGTAGCATTCACAACACATGTTATACCTTTCAGATGTAAATTGTTAGCACTGCTGGCAGCAGCACCACTACTCAGATACAGATGTTCCGTTATTGGCGACATAGTGTGAAATACGGAGGGTGAAAACATCTTGCTTCTGCCAGAGAAAAAAAGAAAATTCAATGTTACAACATGTCGCATACTTGAGGTCCTAACTTTTTATGTCAAATGACACACTGCGTTATTGTACTGAATCCAGTTAATGAATGAAAACTAATTTAAAGTGACAATATTTAACAATAGCCACAACACTCATGTACATTTTATAACCCTTCATGAAATAGTGACAGAAAGTGATTACAATCCCTTTGTCATATGCCAAGCAGTAAACTCATCAAGAAGTGTTAACTGTCTTGATTGTACTTCAGCTGACATGGGTCATTCGACAAATCAAACACTTGAGAAATCTGATGCTAGTAATCAAACATTATTAGCATTCAGTGATTACTACAAAGATAACCTTACTAACCCAAATTTTTGAACGACACTTCCCGCAAAAATACCTTGAGTGTATGGAGTATCACTGGTCAACACACAAAACCAAATCCACCATGAGTGTATAACATATTTGAACATTCAACATACTAGCAATAGAAAAGTATTACTACTATTTGTAAACTGGTTACTGGTCTTGAAATATATATAGACATCATAGTATATATCACTTGGTATGTGGTCTATTACAGCACAGTAGAGAGGAAATTACAACAATTTCAAGGCATATTTGAAGAATTCTGATTCCCTCTGGGCCTCAAGGCTATATGCCTTACAAAACCAATTAAGGTGGTGTTTTTGTTGTTTGTTCCCATAACAGCATCATAGTTGAATCAGTTTACACCGTAAACAATGCAACAACAACACTAACAGTTCGTATTGAACCTACCTAGAAAATACTAAATCCGACGTGCACACCGTAGACAGAGAAGCTAAAACTGGGTTACGCAGGCCTAGGTAAATGGCAGAACAGCTCATAAACAAAATGAACACACCCTATGAACCTAAAGATCCATAAGATTTAGAAAATGCCTTTCTTTTATTTGTAAAGTGATTTATTCACGCATTGTGACCACTTATTGTTGTTACTGTCAAAGATAGACTCATCACAGCGTCATGTTCCCATGGCAACACACGGTGTCGTCCTGTAATAACGTGACCATTTTAAAAAAGGTAGAGAGAGATATATATATATATATAGAATACAATAATAGCGGTAATATTTACTGTAACCGCAGTCACCCATGGGCCGAAAATCCAAATAAACCATTTTTTCACTGCTACTCGTTTTATCGGTACCGGACTGCGAGTTTTTTTTTTAACCGAGTAGCGATGACAAATCGGGAAAAAATAATAATGAATATTACATTTTTATTTGCAGGTAACAAAATTCCAAATCTAATTTAGTATTTACCTTTTTAACTTTTCAAATGCACTGCTAAAATTCACTGTAGCTTGACTTTAGGGTAAAGATGACAGTCCAACAGTGAACGCACAGCTTTAAACAATCACATTACTCTCGAAACCGTACCAGAGGGTAGAAAACAATACATGCAGGAAGCAACACTGGTCTTACTCAATAGCACAAGTGAAGCTGAGAAGTGTGGATGGACTGATGTCGTCGCTTCGAACAGTGTTGAGGTAATAAAATACCGATCAGGGTACTGTGGGTTAATTAAGCATTTGTTCATATATGTTCGTTGAACAATTATAAATAATAAAACTAGTTTACAATCCCCTACATGATCTGTTATTATTCAATTTATATAAAAAAATCCAAACGTATATGGTAAGTTAGTCACTATTTGCAAATCTAGTATTATTAATAAAAGGAGTCCTGAAATTATGGTAATTTTTTGCCATCATATCAACCAATCACACCGCTCCATCTGTCAGGCATGCGTATTTTGCAATGTTACCTCATATAACATCGTAGGTGATTGGACAAGAGTTGATAGACATAATCAATACCAAGTGCAGGGTATTGACTTCTATTCTATTCTGTTTCGTAGAGCTGAGGTTACTAATAACTATCTGTATCTGAAATTTTTAGACGTGGAGAGTTAAGGCCAGAGAAGTGTGCATTGTGTTTGTTGAATATATGCAAGATACCATAGGCGAGCAATGTCCAATAAGAAATCGTCTCTCATAACTATTTAGGATATCCCCGCAAGTCTGTTCGTCGGCTTCTGCAGCATGTCACACACATTACGGAATATGGTTGATGAATGAACTCGGATTTGATTTTCTGTGCGTCTCCACGGAATGTTTTACTATGTCGTTTTATCATGATGTTTTGTTAAGATTGTTGCACGCTATTCTTGCTGTGACTTTTTTCATCCAATCGTGCATATGGACAGCTAAGAAACCACTGCAGTTTCAGTACAGAAAACGAACTCGAGACAGGTTGCAATCCGACGCTCGGTCGTTGAACAAACTTCCTTTGCACATTGGGTTGTTAGTTCTAGAAGATGATATTTCTTATACTGATGTTGCAAATATTGTCGTGTGGTGCATGACAGTTGGAATATCGTACATTTCTTTATATGATACGCAAGGTAAGTTATTTCGCACTCAAATTAATCGTCATGTCTTGGGTCACGATTCCTCTACCACTATGTGGCGTAAATAATTTGTTGAGGACAGGGACCTATTATTTGTATTAACAGTACGATATCATAGTTGACCTTTGATCGGGTCAGCAATACGTGGCATTCGATTTTTTAGACATTGTCCTGGTGTCTTCAAGGACACGATGTTTACAAGACGGAACAATGATCATGTCATGATGCAATCTGTCATTATGCGTAGAACCACTTCCGGGTAATAGTAATCAAGTTCCTCAAGGTCCCCCTCCCGTCTGAATACTAGTAATGTGAATTATCTAACGGTGGATACGGCGATAATATTGTTGGCCCATCAAAGTTTTCAAAAAGCGTATATGTACATGTAGTGATGTATGGAAGTACAAGATGATTTCTTTGAACGTGAGGTGTCGAGATTTTGTGAATATTGTAACATGGTGCCCACCAAATACAAAAAGAACGTTAAACACATAATGATAGGGATGTTCTGTGATATATTTGAGTTACTATTTTGCAATCTTGGACACACCTGAAAAAATAGTCTGTTTAAGGTACAGTTTGCCTGGCCTGGTCTAGCGCCCCATCCCTTCAAAATGCCACTAATTAAAATCTTTGTCTTTGATTATTGCTTATCGAATACTGGTAATCGTTTTTATATGATACAGCATAGATATTGATCGCTGTGAATATGTTGTGAATGCGTAGACCACGGTAACAGTGCGTAAACTATGCTTTGACAATGACCTGTCAAAGAAAATGCGGTAAATATTTCAGTTTAACTATCAAAAAAAACCATGCCGTTTATTCTAACAGATCGTAATTCAACATCGATAATTCACTTCCGCATTGCGTTGCACAAAAATCTTTGATAATTTTCAAAGAATTGCATCAGTACAACACTTAATTCTGATTGGTTAGGTGAAAGGACGTTGTTGCAGGTCAAATCATGAACAATTCATGGTGGAAAGTGCTTTTCATCGAGTGTTTGCGTATGATCCAACACATTCATCTGTGAAGATAAAATAAATGAAGATTTTGACTTCGACCATGTTCCAACAGACTAATATTTTTAACCTTGTAAATTTGGGTGGTATATAATTAATATTGTAATAGCTATAACAAAGCATTTTTAATTATGCAAATTTATGCCAAACAACACTTGGCATGTGGTTCACCTGGTCCAGGAATGTGCTGTTCCACTGAAATAAAAAAAAAATTGACCATCCTGCAATATGGCAGCTTATCAAAAACTCAAATTTTGAAAATCTTTCTGCCAAATATGCAAATTAGGCATAGTACTTCGAGAACTACCTATTTGAGCTTTTATTGCTAAACCAATCGAAGATGTGATATAATATTACCTTTATTTCACAACAGATGCTTTCATACTGACATAGGGGGTATTGTTGTTTGATTTTAAAGGTGGCCTTAAGTACCCCTCACAGTGCATCAAATATCAATGAAGATGATTTCATACCAGTATGTCATTTAATTATTCTTTTGAGGAAATAAAACTTAACACTCACCATATTACTCTACTAACACCTCCAGATCACCATTTCTCATATCTTCTTGTAACTGATAGGAATATATGGCTTTTATTTTTTCCTCTTCATATACAACATTGAACCAAATCGGGAAGCCAGGGACCT